CATTGCATTGGTCTGTCTTTATCCCTACAAATCTTCAAAGATGAAATTTTGTGCCGCCTACACTGGCTGGGACGAAGGTGGCAAACAACGGTCCAAAGTCAAAGTTGAACCACCTCCGTCCCACGCAGATCGCCATAAAGATATACTTAGCCCAGAACTTGACCTTCAGAAAGAAATATTCGCTGAGATTTGAACTACAACATGTCTGAAGACATCCAGATGGACGTAGAGCCCATGGCCCAACCTGTGGCACCAACAGGTGTTGCCCAAACCTTAGAAACAACTGCAACCAATCCTTTCCTACAATGGCCAGGAAATATAGCGAGTATTGGCCTTCCAGCACCTTCTCAGCAGCCGCAGGAGAACTCTGGACCAGTGCCATCGTTGCAAGAGCTGGAGAGCTCTATGCCACCAGGGGTGACTGCTAGTCTACCAATGCAGGATGGTAAGTGTTCTAGGAGTAACTTGTTGCGTTCTCCGCGATTTCTCCCTTGTTTCGTTGTGTGGCTCATTTTGCTCTTGCCATACTCTTCCCTCTCAGAGCTGCACACTCTAGGCACCAATGACAAAATACCCGCTAAAATGCATGTTAGAAGACCAGGAAGAGACAACTGGTCATATATCGGACGAGTCGGAGTCTTTCAGGAGCTCACGCACAAGGCACCCGTAGTTGGTACGTAGTACGCCCACCCGGATAATATTCTCAAACAGAGCATTCCCTCCTTCATCACTTCTTATCACTGACGCTGTTTGATATTTCACAGTGGTACGTTTACAAAGTACTGATAAAGTCGTTGTTGCCTTTTCGGAGCACTCGAATATCAGTGTTGACAAGCGCGGCAACTTTGTGGTCATCGCCTCTGTGGAACCTTCTGGAGTAGTATCATACTCTTTGCATGCTCAAACAAATAATGACGCACTTCGTTTATTGGCCTCCATTGAGCTCGCCGCTTACAAACTTGGGTCGATCACCGGAACGGAGAATAGACAACAAACCCAACTTCGCCGCCGTATAGAAAAGACGATCAAGGAAGA